AAGGAATCAGCGCTGTTATCCTCCGCTGAGTCCAACAACACGCCACCCTGGCCTGCACGCTATTCCAGCGCACACCCCCGCTTGTTCATATCCGCCGCAGCGGCCCGCAGACCCTTGCTAGCTTCGGCTTGCAGGTGAGCAGCTTTAACAATAGCAATAATTTCGGCGTGAAGATGCTCAATTTTGCGAAGCAGACCACATACATCCATGTTGGTGAAAGTCACTGGTGGCAGCTCATCTAAGTAATGAGACACAAATCTAGGGATATCCTCCCCACATTCGTTCAATACCTTGAGGCATGCCTTAACGTTGTTAGCGTCTTTATGCACTCCCTTATAAGAAACATTACGCTGTGTAGTGACAGACTTCAAAGAGCGTTTTCTTGGAGGCCTCAATCCACTCCGTATCAAAGGTGTTAACTGCTAGCAAAACTATCTCATCCTGATTTAAAGTTCTTATTTTTACAGAGAGTAAGTGTAGAAACTCATCCTCAACTATAACTTTGCCATCTATTGTTGTATAAATCTTTGGTTTAAGATGACCTTTAGCAAACACAGGAGCTCCAGGTGCACGTGCTGGTGTTGCATTCGCCATGTTGAAGTATCCTCTCCAGCCAAAAGAATAAATGCATGATTAGTAATCAGTCAATTATCAAAACTGTTGCAAATTCGTATTTTGTCGATTGCTTAATAATTTCAGCTCTACAATAATCCAAACATTGTCAGTGCTGCTGGGCAAAAGAAGATGCTTACTGAGCAATACTGAAAACTATGGAGTTCCACATTGCACATAATCCTACAATTAATATTTTTCTTGGGCTGGCTGTGTATATGCTAATGCTACAAGATGTTAATCGGAAAGCACCATGTTAAGCCAAATCCATCTTCAGGAAAACTGTATATAATCAAAGTGACTTTCAAAAATAACATACATTGGCATTCGATGAAATCGGTGGAAAAGGAAAGGTTTGTGTACATGTGGCAGAAGAGTCTTATCTGAGTAATGCCAAAGGACTGGGTTAAACAGTAGTTTGATTATTCTACATCAAATTTACCCAAATTTGTGGCAGGCAGGCAGGCAGAACACTAAAAGAACAGCCCTCTTCCCCACCACCAACAAAACACAAACTGAGGGAATATCTTTTCAAAGTATGGTGTTTGTTCCCTTAGTAGAGTTGCACAGACTTGAAGGATCTATGCAAAGGAGTAAGGAAGCTGTTCAGGAAGCAGCAACACATTTAATGTGGGGTTTTCCCATTCATTGTCAACAAATAGCAAAATCACCTGCCCCTTGCACAAAGTAAAGTGGTTTTACTGAGCAAGCTCAGGTAATGTTCTGAAAAATTTTCTCTGCAATAGCTCAATGATTTTTGAGCCATGTTTCGATTATTACAGGCCATGTGTCCCTGTGGGAGTAGCAGGGATGGGGCAAAAGAGCCAACTGTTCTTGGTGTTCTGCAAACACCCACGTCTTTGTTCAAATCTGGAGCTGTTCAGACTGTGTTTGTTTGATGCAAATATTTCAGAGAACTGAAGGACAACTTTCCATTTTCTCACTAGGAACCCTTGCCAACAAAATGACCTCCATGTGAGCTGTGGCAAGAAACAGTGTGGTTGGTGCTTTTCTGAAAATAGATGCCTTCTTAATCAGTTGTAAGAAAGAGCAATGCAAATTCTCACTGACATGATGTGCTCTACTTTCCATTACCTTCTCTGATTGGTATAATAATCTGGTCAAAACAAGGGAGAATCAGATCTCATTTTTATGCTACCCCATAAACACTCACAAACACCATCGAATGTTTTGAACAATTTTGGAGGAGACTAATTGTAAACCAGGGAGGTGTGCCCAGTAAAGTAGACTGTTAGCATGCAGACTAATTGTAAACCAGGGAGGTGTGCCCAGTAAAGTAGACTGTTAGCATGCAGCAGTGTGCTTAATTTTAATCAGCCACCAAGACAGACCTCGGCCCCTATTCATTAGTAAGTTCAGTAATGCATACATGTCCACTAATTGGCTACATGAAGCCAAATACACAGGTGACATTCAAATCCCCCCTTGAGGCCGTGCATTGTATACTGTTGCAATTATGTTGCACCAGGTTGCGTAACAGCTCTGCCTGTTACTTATGATTATTTGGTCAATTAAATGCATCACAAAACCACATTTCACCATCAGGCCTGTGAAAAATCTGATTTATAACTAAAAGATCATTTTAAATATGGAGGCACAAACACAAACACACACATGCTCTAGTGTTTATGAATCATCTGTGTTTTATGCAGTCATTCCAGGCTACATCTTCATTAGCCACTCAGCTGTATAATTACTGCTTTCAGCAACCTTTGTTTTGAGAGGAGCATCACTGATGGCAGTGTGTGAGGGTGTGTGGTTGTGTGTATGATGCATATAGTGTGAATGTCTGTTCAGAAGGCAGGGACCATCTCATTTTAGTAAATTAGGCTAAATGCAGGTGTGGATGCCTGTAGTTAGACCAGAAGACTCAAAATACAACTGCTCAAACTGCACCTCTGGACACAGAGCACCTTTAAATATACATATATTAATGTGTGTTATGTATGTCGTACCTAGGTTATGCCTTTTGCTCTTAGCATGTTCATGGATGTGTTTCTTGGCAAAACAGGCAAAGAAGACGCAGTAGAGGCAGGAATGGAGTCTGTTGAGGTGGGTGCTGCACATGTGGCAGATACATGACTTAGCCTGGAAGAGAGGAGGAGGGGGCAGAAGAGGGGAGGCAGGGAGGGAAAGGGATAAACAGAGATAGAAGGAATTATCATCACAGTTTTGAATGCTGTGTATGTTGTTGCACTAACATATACACATTCACGTCATCAGTGGCTCTGGTTCCATCAGCTAATTTAAGGAAGCAGATCTACTTAAAAATACATATTTCAAAAACATAACATTTGAAATTCCAGCAAGGGTTTAAAGCTGCATTTACCAATACTTTTATGTTAACAACAGATTTAAAGAAACAGGATTTTTCAAATTGGTGTTAAATAGATGGCAACTTGAGTTAGCTTAGTGGAACAGCTGAAGCTGCATTTGAGCATCAGATGAACTTTGGAGTGCATGTTTTTTCAAAACGAGGGTTGTGTTGCTTGTCCGTCATTTTTTGCAGCACAGAGGCACTCTGGATGGAAACATTCAGGGTCGGTGTGGAGGGTAGAAGTGCCAACAACCAAGATGTAGTCTGACATACACAGGGATACATACTGTAACACCAACTTGCAAAATCCCGAACCATTCCTTTAAACAACGTGTCGTGAAAGGGGTCACTCCTAGTGATAAACCCTCAGAGAATTATTACACAGCCTTGTTTTTTTCCACTCAGTTCTATAAAGCATTTTCCCAGTTTTAGCTCACTGTTTTGATTTTCTGCACCACAACCTTAATTTTGATTCTGGGTTTATTTCCAGCACCAACATGCAGTTGTTTTCAGCTAATACAGTAAATAATCCCACTGTATGCTAGCTGTCCGACAACAAACAACTAATGAACTAACTGATGAAAACAGTGTCAAGCATTTATGAGCTAAAACACCAGATATCTTCTAAGAGGTGGGCAGAGACACAACCTGTGAAAAAAAGGAAAATGAATACTGGACTAATATTTGTCAGGATAACAGAATCATGGCTCCATATGAATGTTAATGTTGCTTGATATCTACTCAGCTTGATGTGTAAATAACATTTTTGCCCAATAACTAATAATATGCAACATATTATATGACAGATGAAGATTACAAAAACTACTTTATCCCTACTTTGGTGTTAGGAAACCAACTACTGGACCAAACCTGCTGCAGCTACATTTCTGACTTCAGTTAGTATTTAAACTGTAATTTCTTCTATCACGTTGAAAACATGGTTTTTCTTCAGTCTCTGGCACCTTATGCAGAATCATAATATGGGAGTGGAATGCAATCTATCAGGAACATTTTTAACATTTTTCTGCATGTGTGTGTGTAACAAAAAGAAGTGTAGAGAGTGTGTATGTAGCTGTACGTTTCAAAAGCTTGCAGATGAGAAGCTGGCATGCCAATGAACCAGCATGCATATGATGAGGTGAGAAAAAAATGTGCAAAAGAAGAGAGACAAGACAAAATGAGAAAATCAAAAAAGACAATAACTGGAATTTAGATGCTGGTACAGAAGGTTGATTTCAATGTTTGGTGTGTTCTGATAACTAAAAATCCACTTCAGTCACTTCCTAACATTTGGTAAGAAAGCATCCACCATCTATGCCGCTTATCTGGGGAGGGGCTGGAGTCAATCCTTGTTGACATTGAGCGAGAGGCGGGGTACACCCTGAACAGATCTACCGATCTATCACAGGGCTGACACTTGGAGACAACCACCCACCCACACCCACACTCACTCCTACGGGCAATTTGGAGTCACCAATCAACCTAAGCTGCATGTCTTTGGACTGTGGGATGAAGACGGAGTTGATAAGAAAGCAAATACTATTATTTTCCAAAATGTCAAACTGTTCCTTTCTACACATCTTTTCCATGTTTTCTAATAAACAACCAACCTCCGTTGCTTATTATCTATCATATGCATGGCATGATAGCTAAACACAAAGCAAAAAGGAAGAAAACCAAAAAACATGGATTCTTGTTCCAGTCAAACAGCACACACAACAGCACATGAATTATGAAAAGGCATCAATATGCAACCATCTCTCCTCTGTCATTCTTCCAACCATCAGTGTCACAGTACGCATGTCTATTTTTCTACACACTGAGGACTATTCATGTAGAAATTTGCATCTGCCTGTCAACACATCTTTACATCCTCAGCTAACAGGAGGAGTCTGGAATACCTATGAACATACAATTGTTCTGCTTTAGCACACTGGTCATGTACTAATAGGCCACTCACTCAGTGAGGCCTTGTGATCCTCCTAACACCCAGAGAATACCCTGTGCTCTGTACATGTCTGACTATTTCTCTGACTGCTGCGATGTCAATGATGAGCCATCTGTTGGCAGGATGTTATGTGAGAAGCGCAGAAGAAGGTAATGGGCTGGAAAGATCCTGGTTATAAGTGTGAGGACATTATCACGCTGTAAGCCAAATGCAACAACGTCTGTCCTGACTTTTGAAAGGCCTGCATCCAAAGTATGTAGACAGGTCATCCAAAACAAAGACGTTACACTAAATGGGGGAAAAGTCACTTTAAACAGTAGAGAAACAACAACAGACTTAGTATATCAGGGCTTTTCTTAATATTTGCTGTTGTGTCCACCATAATGAGCTGGGTGCCAAGACCAAACTACAAAATAAAACAACACTTAAGGTTGGTAACTGAACAAAACCCTTTACCTGTCTGCCAAGGAAGCATCACATGAATGCTTGTTTTAATCAAAATGAATGCATCTGGCCTGAAGAGTCACTGCAATGTGTCATATCTAAACAGTGCTGAAGCCTACAGGTATACATGGTTTTTGTACTTTTATACTTTTTGTACTTGATAATTACAAGCATGACCTGATTCTGGATTACTGAGGCAGATACTGAAAAAAACCCTCTGTAAATTTTTTTTAAACATAAAATCTAATATAACCAGTGACACAGGCCACCTTGTTAAGTGTTTTCAAAAGGACTATAACTAAGGTACATTCTGAATAAAACATTTAATAGTTGAAAAACCAACTTCTTTTTGGGTACCAACATTCATGTGAATGCTACTTTGACACATACCATTGATCTAAACATTGTTGAAGACCAAGTACACCCCTTCATGACAGTGGTAGTCCCTGATGGCAGTGGCCTCTTTCAGCTGAATGATGCCCCCCTGCTACACTGCAAAAATGGTTCAGGAATGGTTTGTGGAGCACGACAATGAGCTCAAGATGGTGACTTGGCCTCCAAATTCCCCAGATCTCAGTCTAATCAAAGACCTGAGGTATGTGCTGAACAATCAAGTCAGATCCATGGGGGGCCCACCTTGCTACCTACAGGACTTGAAAGATCTGCTGCTGATGTGTTGATGCCAGATTCCAGAGGACACCTTCAGAGGTCTTGTGGAGTCCATGCCCTGGCAGGTCAGAGTTGTTTTGGGGACAAAAGGGGGACCTACACAATATTAGGCAGGTCCTTGATTCCAACTGTGTTGTTCTGGGGGGTGTCCATTGTGGATAAATAAGACACTTTGGAGACTGACACTGTAATCTTTCAATTCTCAAGCTGAAGGAATGGTTAACATTCAATCTGCATCAAAAGGTCAGTGAAACGTCTGATGCAGACTGTGTTGATCATGACCATCTGAGCACTGACCCTAGAAGTAAAGGTCAGCATGGAGAGGACAGTGAATAATGGAAGAACTAGAGTGGATATACCATGGTTGTAACTAGCCTGAAAAATCTGGTAAGAATACATTTTCCCCAAGGTTAATCAGGCATGACAAGCTTATAAATCCAAAGACTGCAAACAAAACAATTTGAAGAATGTGCTAGTGTGAAGAAATGACATTAGGATATGATAATCACACACACTTGGAGTATGACTCCCATTGAGAGCAGATGGGATTAAAAAAAGTATAATGTAAAAAATATTGTGGTCAAGGCATGCTTGTATCTGAGTGGAAAATCGAGCCACAATCAATAAAATGTAGTAGCACAGTAATACACAGTATGGTTGTGAGCCCTCCTGCCAGCCTTGTCTGTTCCTCAGGGGAGGGTGGGGGCTAAGGCAGAGAATTCAGGCCATTAGGACAGGGAAAGATCCTGCAAGCCTTTACCCAATTCATTTCACTGTACATCTCCTGGAGTACTAGCTCCCACGGATCCCATGTAGATCACAGGAGAAATGGGATTGTACTAGGGTATATACAGTATGAGGGCAGGATACATGTATGCAGCCAAGTACATACTGCAGATGCAAGCGCATGCTAGTATTGTGCATTTCGCTCTGTACTCACATCATATAAAGAGAATCAATAAACATGACTCAATAAAGGAGGTCTTCTTCAGTACAGATGAAGACGCGCTGCATCAGCGTGAAAGCGCGCGAGACTCGTGACACACATCCTATTGCTTTAGCAGTTACACCTGGTTGATCCAGTCATGCAGTGATGCATATCTGTCATTCTGTGTTAGGGTAAGCCGAAGAACGTGTATAAAATACGTTAAGGGGAAAAGAACCATGACTGCTTATTTCATATTTAAACTCATAAACGCCCATTAAGCGAGGAAATGCCACTGTTTAATGCTGGCCTACGGTATGTTGATGGAAGGAATTGGAGACACTGCAGGCGCTGTGCCAATGCAAACAGATGCACATCAGCTTTCTCGTCTATGTGGTGTCTAGACTTGAACTAAGCTAACGTACGGCTGTGCGGGGGCAAGTGGGTGGTATGCTAGTAGCTTGGTGTCAGGTGTTGAGGTTTACATTTAGTTCGAGCCCGACATCAAGACAACGCTAGATCCTGAGTGTGAGTGGTATTAGAATGAGGGCAAAAAGTAGTTTGGTATTCGGTGTCAACTGTTTGTGTTGTTTTGGAAGGGCGGGGAACTGTCCACACACGCGACGTCAGCTCCAACACACACAAACACACACACAGTATGTCATGTCGTACGTTTAGAGTCCTTTCTAAGCACCCATTTTCCTGTGCCACTTGTTACCTTGCGTTTTCTGGTCTCGGCTGAATCGCTCCACACAAAACACTGATAAATAACCCTCAGGTTCTGCTTCCAGTTGTCTACTTTGAAGCCGTTGACATGGGGACAGCCTGCGGGACTCATGGTAGTCACAGCATCCGGCTTTACTGTCGACTGGGCGATGAAACCTGCTCAAATCCTTCAACGCAGACCCAGTCCAAACTGTCTGGCTGACTAGCTTGCCAGGTTCGTTATCCGCCGATTGCTGCGTTCTGGCTAACCGGACCTGTCCTGATTGCAGTAACGGAGACGCACACAGTAACAAACATCAAGGCGAGTTTTCCAGTGTACCTCTATTAGAAATTAGATGCTATTTATCCATTTCTATCCAGAATATCGCTGTACTGGCAGTTGTTCACATTCGCTGAATTACATGTTAGCAAGCTGGCTAAAGTTGGTTAGCATTGGAATTTCAACAGTAGCTTACACTGAGTGCCATCAAGACCCACCTCATTCATGACGGTGGACCAATGAGGGCTGAGGGCTGCGCATGATTGGCGTCTGCAAACGTTCTTTCGGCGGCAAAGTCCCGCCTCTATGAAGTTGGTGCTGCGCCGTGATTGGTACCAGTTTCCTGCGAACCACATCCGCCTATATATGGACGTCCATTGGCTGAAGCATAAATCATCTTCAATATATCAATCAAGAACGTTGCAATGTGGCAATCAAAAGTGGATGTAAATCCAAATCCATGTAAAACCAAACTGATGAAAATCTCTTCACAAAGCCATGAAACCCAGAACTATATTCTTAAACAATTTATTAACAGATCCACAATCGCAAAGCTCAAGCTCCCAAAGGACATGGTAGTTGATTTTATCTGTTAACTTCAGTTCTTGTAATAACAAGCAGTCGAAACTGCTTTCTATACAGTGCTCCAGCGACCTCTAGTGGATCCGACTAAAAATAAAAAACGTAAATGGAAAATAAAAATTAAAACAAAAAAACAAAACAGTGCACCAAATTGTGAACACTCCTCTGTTGTGCCGTGTTTGGTCAACGGCATGTCCCTGTATACAGATATGCTATTGATAATATCTACATTCTAACCAAAAGGAGTGAGAGAAATGATCATTGCAGTCTTTACAAATGTAGAACATATCAAATGTATTCCTTGTCAGCCATAGATGTTTTACCTCATATGTAATGCCCTTGAGTTACGGCCATCATGCAGCAGAACCAAAAACAAACAGTGAGATTATTCACACGTTTGGAACAAATAAGTCCAGTTTTTATTATTGTGGTTTCTGTTAATGTAGCAGTGGCGCTCCAACCTGAACATTGATAAATAAAACACTGACAAAATTGTAATCTTTTTTTCCCATTTTCTGTAAGGGTGCGTTGTTATCCTTAAGACACTGTGAAGAAAGAATATCCAAATTTATCATCATTCCACACAATTAGATTTTCCTTGACCAATGTCCTTATGCAATAGAATGTTTGTTTTTCCTCTTAAAAAAATCCAACTCATCCTGGGAAGAACGTGTTGGGTGGCTGTAGCGTTCTCTCCCTGTCCAAGGCCCCTCAGGAATAACTTGATGTTTTGCTACCAACGTCGTCCTCCTGCGATCCCATACTCTGGGGGGGGGGGGAAAATTTTTTTACATGTCAAGACAGACCAAATGCTTTTAGAACACCTAAATACCAACAAAGGACATTTTTAATATAACATTTTTCCAGCTGTTTACCACATTGTAGTTGAACTATATTGTTTTATACATGAAAACAACCATAACATAAATTGGTATCATTCCTCGAATGATTTAATTTTTCCATCAGTTTATTTCATTCCACCATTATTCATTTTTCTGCCGAACATGGTATCTTTTCATCCATTCCTATGTAAAATGTCCAAAAATGTGAAAAAAAAACACTCACCTTCTGCACAAATTGTGGGTTTACTGTGATTTCTTGATCCATTGATTTTAGTTTCTCATCCAGTTCTATACATTTCAACATCTAGAAGGAGAAAAATGACATAGCATCACCTCAAAAGTAAACTGCTCAAAAATTAAAGGGAACACCTAATCATCACAGTATAACACCAAGTCAGTTAGACATCAGGGACACCCCCCCACCCAAAAGAAAGGGTCTGGTTTTGCATGTGGTGGCCACATACAAATGCTAAATAGTCTTATACTTGTAAAGTGTAGAAAAGCACTATACATCACACTCAAAGCACTTTCACACTACTTGGCCATTCACACTCACAAGCGCTCACGCACCAGTGTTATCACCGGGAGCAACTGGGGGTTCAGTGTCTTGCTCAAGGACACTTCGACATGTTGACTGGAATCGAACCGCTAATCCTCCGGTTAGGAAACGACCCGCTCTACCTCCTAAGCCACAGCCGCCCCCAAATGCTCTCCTTATTCTTCCTAACTGATTCTTCTCAGGTTTTGTGTTTTGTTAGTGTCCTTGTCACTACTGGTAGCATGAGGCAGTACCTGCAGCCCAGTCAGGTTACACAGGTAGTCCAGTTACTCCAAGATGGCACATCCATGCATGCAGTCAAAAGAAGGTTTGCTGTGTCTCCCAGCACAGTCTCGAGAGCATGGAGGGGATACCAGGAGACCGGCTGTTAGCCCAGGAGAGCTGGACAGGGCCATAGAAGGGCAACAACCTAGCAGCAGCACCTTTGTGTGAGGAGGAACAGGAGGGCCACTGTGAGAACCCTACCAAATGACCTCCAGCAGTTACTGGTGTGCATGTTTCTGACCAAACTGTCAAACAGACTCCATGAGGGTGGCATGAGGGCCCAACATCCTCTAGTATGACCTGTGCTCACAGCCCAGCAGCTGGCTTGGTGTTCTCCAGAAAACATCAGAATTGGCAGGTCCACCACTGGCCCTCGTTCTCCTCACAGATGAGAGCAGGCTCACACTGAGCACATGTGACAGGCATGAAGGAGTCTGGAGATGCCGTGGTGAAAGTTATGCTGTCTGTAACATCATCAAGCATGACAGATTTGGTGATGGGTCTGCATATTTTTGGAGGGAAGCACAGACCTCCAAATCATAGCCAACAGTACCCTGACTGCTGTAAGGTACCGTGATGAAATCCTCAGAGCGACTGTCAGATCTTATGCTGGTGCAGTGGGCCCTGGGTTCCTCCTGGTGCAGGACAATGCCTGGCCCCATATGGCCTGAGTGTGTAGGCAGTTCCTGGATGATGAAGGCATGGATGCCATTGACTGGCCCTCACATTCCCCTGACCTAAATCCAATTGAGAACCTATGGAACATTATGTATCGGTGCATCTGATGCCATCGAGTACTAGGAATGGGCATTTCAAGCTAAAATGCTATTTGTTATGTGCTAGGAACTATTCAACAATTATTCAAAGGTCACAGACCTGCCCCCTGCCACACACACCTTTGAATCATATTATAAGTTGCCATAAGAAAACTCACACAACTTGGATGAGCCTGTGACTTCAAATTTTCACTTTGATTTTCAGTGTGATTTTGAACACAGCCTCCATGGGTTGATGACTTTGGTTACCATTGACTGCTGTTATGTCATTTTATTCTGAACAAATTATACAGTGTGCATTATTAAAACGTTTTAAACTTGAATAATCGAATCCAATGTGTGATCTAGTGTTCCCTTAATTTTTTCAGCAGTTTAGATACTAAGGATAATATCGAAGGGATTCAGACTTAAAATTAAGTCAATGCAAAGTGAGACAATGCTGAAAATAGAGATGGGCAGCCTCACCTCTTGGTCAATTTTGTGGAGCATTGCTGGGTTGTTGTATTTTTCGGGGTTGTCGTGGAAGCAGACCATACCATCCTTTTGGTTAATGCTAGCATATATCTCACCATCTTCGATCTGCAAAGAAGGACAAAGGACATGAGGAAAGCTCAACACAAAGGTTTTTGTTCTGCTCAATAGTAAACTGATACAAAAGGTACATTTAAAAACTTCTAAGTTATCTGAAATTGTTTTCAAGATAAAGACACATTCTATCTTCTAAGGTTTTGTTCCTTGTAGACAAACTCACCATGTGTAAGACATATTTCTCTGCTTCCTGGGGTCCGGACAGCTGCACTCGACTTGCCATATCTTGCAAAGACAGCGTCAGGAAGGTCTGTAGGGGGCACACAAAACAGATACAGATAGTAAGCTAAATTAAAATAAAAGATGTTGTGACCACATGGACCCTAGTAGAAAAGTTGTTTGGGTCTTTGCATTTGGTTGATAAAAGAGAGATGAGAAATCTGTCATCAGACGTCACCTACATTCATTATTGACCTAAGCATGGACAATATTAATGAAAACCATTAAGGATGATATGGCCTAGAATTAATTAGCAAGTGCAAGAATGTTTATTGCATTTTGTCAGAATTTCCCGGTAGTTTATAAAAATGATTCTTAATCTAATGACATCATTAATATACCAACAAACCCAACCTGGATACAGCCAAAAGTGGATAGATACACGGACAAAAGGTTTAACCAATCTCAAGACTTCACAGTATCTATGTCTTAAAAGTTCTACATATGGATTTTACATGACATCTGAGGTCTGGTACAATACTTCAGCCAGTTTCTCTTTAACAGGCAGGAGAACACAAATCAAAGCTACATCATGATATTAAGATGAACAAAAATATGTCATCTTAAAATATGTCAGCTCTCATTAGGATACACTGATCGATTACCCAGAGCTGGCAGAAGACAGCAGTTTTTCTCAGTTTCCCAAGCATGAGCAACAGCTGGTTATCAGATGTCTGGGTCTGCCTTTATGCACAAACACACAGTTTTGGGGCTGTTTCCCCATCATTCTGATTACTTGGAACAAAAGCTGACTACAGGATTGAGACACATTTCCAGCCATCTTAATGCACTCTTGCTTTATTCTATTTTGCCAAAGTCCTTCCTCTGATTAAACTCATTCCATGTTAATCCTAAACTGAGGTCTAAATTCCTCAACCCAAGTATAAAAAAAACAGTTATACAGTACAGTTCACACTACAGCCTGATCAGGTGAATAAGTGAGGGCTGGAAACTTGCACTCACATATTCTTGTGAAAACATCTGGTATGCGTTAGTATAGAAATAAAAGAACACACACTCATATAACAAACACGTAGACACACCCACCTTTGTTAGCCTCTGAATGTTCTTCTTGTAGAGGGAGGAGAGGCACTGTTTGACCAGGCCTGTGTTGTTGTCTCGTGTGAAGGTTTCGCTGTGTTTGTTGACGACACTGCGCAGCTCGGCTGGATTGTTGGTGGTGTAAACCTGAGCTAACTCGTGGTAAGCATTGCTCAGGGGCTGACGGTAAAGGGATAGAAGGAAAACACATTAACAGCAAAATAAAAGATAAGCTGCATGCAGAGATCTTTACTGGCTTTCACAATGTGTTCACACTGCAACCAACACAATCACTGAGTCACTGAAGTCCTCTCATTTCCTTCAGAGCTGAATGGAAATTAGATAATATGTGGAAACCCAAACACCATTCATTTCACCCATACCATGCATCCTCACCTTAATGAACCTCCCTACTATTTGTGAGGTGTATTTGGGCAGCTGCTGCACTTTGCCATGAAGAATGAGTGACACCAGGATGTATTTCTTATAGGCTTCCAACATGATGTGGCTCACTGCCATGGCTGGAGTGGTTATTGCCTGACAAGGAAAAATTACAGGCGTGACCACTTACCGAATACCACAGAGAAAGTGATAGTTTAAAGTAAATTCAGGCAACATAGCGATACATTCAGAAGACAGTTTGAAAAGAAATTTGCTATTACAAAACAACTAGATATGCGAGTGCCAACAAAACACAAATAATACCTGTTCATAAAAATACAGTGCTCTTTCGAAGTTTTTGAGGCCTGTGTAGATCATTCCACCATAGTAGTAATAACATAAAAAGTGCTTTGCATCGTAGGCTCCATTCTCCTTACAGATGTCCATCATGTCTAGCTCCAAGAAGGGCAGGGCGGGCTTGAAGCACTTTGCTAACAAGCACAGCTGCAGGGAGACAGGTATGTAGTGAGGGTGAGTGACAAATTACATGTTGTCTTTGAACAATTTAAGAGAACCCTAAAACAGCATATTCAACCAAGTATGCATTTGAGAGGAAGGCGCAGTTGAAGACAATGGGATAACTTAGATGTTGATGCTAAGATAACAGATCACATTCAGTAACAATATGTGAAAGTTCAGCATAAGGACTATAAGGATGGCAGCCATGATGAGGATGCAGTAGTGACTCACCTGACACAAGTCTGCATGAACTGAGGTAAGTTGGTTTGTGTTCATCTGCATTTTGTCTATTGCCTGTTTTAGGATGCCAACACCCCTCAGTGGCTGTCGGAGAATGACAAAATGTGAGTTATGCAGCTGCAGCTTGCCCGAGGCATCCAAACACACTATATAACACTTTAAAATGAATTCAAAATGTTAGATCATGAAGAAAAAAGGAAAACTTGTTTCTTTTGGGTGTTTTACACTCAGTGCTGTACTGGTGATGAGATGACTCATATGGCCTTGTCAGTCAGTGTAAAGGGAAAAAAAAACACTACAAATTCACTGATGCCAAAGTGGAAAGAGCTTTTACACCAAAATGTATACAACACTTCACCCACTGAAAAACAACACTGCATAGTGTCCTTTAAGACATCATACACGCACCATAGGCAATTTGATAAAGACATTACTCTTTCTCAGTAACAAGAACAAAATGGAGACTAGAAATGGATGTATGTCTCTGCCAACCAATCAGCTTTACAGGACTGGGACAGATGTGAGGTCACTCTGACCTTGACCATCAAAATTGAATCAGTTCATCCGTGAGTTCAATTGGAAGTTTGTGCCAAATTGGAACAAATT